GTAAGTTACCTATTCAAAACAAGCGACAAAAGAAGAAATGCATTTAAGAATGAAAATAGCAAGCCTGGATCAAATCAGATGCACTTTCTGCCAGGCTCTCCCTGGGTCATAGTCGGCCTTGACCTGTGAGTGTGCCTCAGGACACAACATTGCAATGTCATAGCAGCACCAGGAAGGTTGCTACAGTCCTCCGGTGCTTCGTGGAGGAGGGAGGAATGCATGACCTAAAGAGAAGCAAAGGGGTTTTGATTATGAATAATATCAGTAGCTACCTTTTGTTGACATTATTTCTCCTTCTGATATCAGCCCAGAAGGTGGGTGTAAGGAGACAGAATGGCTTCTTGAATAAAAACCAAACTGCTCCTGCAAGATTGAAGGAGAAGGGAGACCTGTCCCTCCTCGCCTGCCCCCCTCCCAACCCCCAATGAGACAGGGGGCTTCTGGATCTCGCTGTGTTCAGTCTTATCCCCAATATGTCTTTTTTCCTCTCATGAACAGAGGTTCTGAAATTTGAGCTGTCAAAATCATCTGTAGATTCTTAGACCCCCACTCCCCACCCTGAACTTTGGGGGGTCTGGAGTGGGGCCCTGAAAGCTGTGGTGTTAATGAGCNAGTAGATTCTTAGACCCCCACCCCCCACCCTGAACTTTGGGGGGTCTGGAGTGGGGCCCTGAAAGCTGTGGTGTTAATGAGCACGTAGTGGTTCTGCAGCAGCTGACAGCACTTGGTTACTGTTACCTGCCCCTGGTTACTGTTACCTNCTGTCAAAATCATCTAGTAGATTCTTAGACCCCCACTCCCCACCCTGAACTTTGGGGGGTCTGGAGTGGGGCCCTGAAAGCTGTGGTGTTAATGAGCACGTAGTGGTTCTGCAGCGGCTGACAGCACTTGGTTACTGTTACCTGCCCCTGGTTACTGTTACCTTGCCCCTGGGTACTGTTACCATGAGGCCCACTTCAGAGGAGTCCACTTCCACATTGGCTGCAGTTGAACCTTTGAGCTTTCTGTTTTGGTTTCCCATTGCTGAGCTGCAGTATTTAAGTAAAGAGTGAGTATTTCTATACAGGGACTAATGTCCTACTAAGTAGCTAACCTGGGCTCTGAGTCCAGTCCTCTTTGATTCTCCGTCCGTGGCTCCCCACTATTTCACGCTGCCACAGGGGAGGGCTTCTTTCCCGCTAGTATGCATCTTGGCTACTTGAAATACGGAGCAGGCGCTACAGTCTCACGTAGAAGACACAAGAGTAGGTAAGGAATCCAGCTACCTCACTTCATACAATTTCCAGAGGGCCCAACCCTGCATGCTCCCCGCACGGACAGTGTGGGGAATGTAAAAATGCCCATGTCACCGGTTGTAGTGATGGTGGAACAGCTCTGAATGTGCTAAAAACCATCAAATTCTACACCTGAAAGGGGTGAATTGGATGCTTTGTGAATTATTTCCCAATAAAGTTACTTTAAAAAACTTAACAGTAATAAAAGCCCTCAAAAAATGTATAGAAAGGCAAATAACACAAAATCCCTGAAATGCTGTCATAATCAGTGCGCAGATTCTGGGTAATTTCAGAGAAAGAGCTCTCACTTATATGAACTATTTCAGGTAACCTCGTAATGAAGGAATGTTCTTTCGAAATAAGTCCGAATAGGAAGAAATGGTAGAATTAGAATGCCAGTTTGCAATTCCTATGAAGTGGCTGATTCAGACAGTAATCATCGAGGGGTGGGTGCTAACACCATTGGGGGCTGGGAGCTCCAGGGCAGCAGAGGCCCTCCCAGGGACTACTCACAAAATTGCAAGGAGGGACCAGCAGATGAGTTGCTGATGCCTCCCGGGGCAATGCAACACCCAGGAAACGGTGCGGGAGACCGTCCACCCCACACCTTGGACCTGAATCCCACTGAGCCTGTAGCCCCACCTCCAGGTCCCAGGAAATGAAAGGGTTAGAGGAACTAGTGAAGAATGAAACGTGTCCAGGGCGTGGAACATTTCAGGGGACAGCAGGAGGACAGGCCCCTCTGGTCCACACACCCGGCACGAGGAAGGGACCGACTGGCCAGGTGGGCGCAGCCCAGTAGAAATGTAACAGGAGCCACGTTAAAATGTAAAAAGAAACAGGTGGAATTAATTTTAGTAACCGAGTCAAAACATCCAACATGTTATTTCAATATGTAATCAACATAAAAATTATTGTTGAAATATTTATGTTTTCCTTTTCATACCAAGCTTTCAAAATCTGGAGTGAGTTTTAGACTAACAATTCATCTCCATTCAGATGCCAAATTTTCACTGGCAATGCTTGATCTGTATTTAAATTTCGTGGAATTTACATTTTAGAAAAGTATACCCATGTACCCAAGTTATTCCAAACACAGTGAAAAGTTTCCCGAACTGAACCGAGCACCCCCCAAACTCACTTTCCTTTCCCATTTGCACGCACCTCGACAAAACTGGTTCATCTTTTTTTAAATAATTTACTTTGAAGCAAAGCAGCATCAGTTTGAAAATGACCTCAGTTCAAGTTAAGTAAATTCACCTCCCCTTGT